TTAATGAAAAAAAAATTTTCCCACATGCCTTCGTGCGGATATAAAAAGAAGTATAATTAAAATTTGAATTATTTACATACAGATACTTTTGTAACATCTTTAGAAAATAATCTCTAACGAAGAACTTAACCGAAGAGTTAACCCAATTAAAGAAACATTAAGCAAGTAAAGAAACATAAATTCAGATATGTAGAACATAAGCTCCGTTAAAAATAAAATAATATACTATACGTTGCACTTGCTTGTAACCTATTAGGTTATGGAATCCTGCCCCAGGTGGTGAAGGACTGGTAGGAGAACTGTTTAGAATTAGACTGAAAGAATATTTAACAAATTGAGGCAAATACAAAAAAAAAACAATAAAAATAGTTGGAAAATATATGCAGCACCCTGAAGGTCCCAATGTAGTATGAATATAATAATAATAATAATGTTGCCAGTTAATATTTAGTTAATTTAAATATTTTAAAAACTGAAATTATAATATCTTTAAGACATTGCATAATTTTATGTAATTAAGATGTAATTTTTTAAATCTTAATTTTTAATAGTATATCCTAAAATAGGGAATTTAAATAATATGTCTATATTATACACAGAAATAAAGTTTTAAACATTACTTAAATTCTTAAAAAATATTGACATGAGTGATGTCTTCTACAAACCTCATAAAAGTTTAACTCTATTTTGTATCGCAAGAAATTGAAACCAGGAAAGCCGGTTTACGACCGATCAGACTAAACTAACCTATACACGTTGAATTTAATAGACCAGAATAATTAAACAAATTACATTAATAAAATTTCCCAATTACTATTTTATTAAAAATTAATCACGATAACATTCAATTTGAAATCAAATTAATAATTAAAACAATAATAATGATTTAATGAATAATTTTTTACACAGTTTAATTAGTGAAAACGTTCCCGCTGCAGAGGAAAACGTGTCAAATAATTCAAATATTGATGTGGTTCCAGGCATCGATTTTCTAAATGATGTTGAAATGGAAAATAATGGTCATACAACAAATGGTAACAAACCTTAATTTTATATTAAAATCATAAATGAAAAGTAAAATTTTAATTAAGCTGCTTGTATTATATTTGTATTAATTTTCATAAAACTTTATTATTTAATTTAATGAACACTTCTTCACAAAAACTTCTTGACTATAACATATATTATTCATATTTCATACATACTAATATTATCACTTTATAATTTAGAACTATAAAAAAACCCTTCTTCAGTATAACACATATTATTTATATTTCATTTTTACTAATATTATCACTTTATTATTTAAAACTATTAATAAAAGCTTCTTGATTATAACACATATCATCTATATTTCATTCTTACATACTTACTTATGACTTTATTATTTAAAACTAGAACTGTTACTGACTAAACATACTCTAAATGAAAACTAATGTTAAATATCTTGCATTTGTTAACTCTTATATGCATTAGTTTAACTATTTTTTTACTAGAATTATTTTAGAAATAATTTTTACAATTAACATAACTATAAAATATGAATAAAACCTAGTGAACCAGGCTATTATATATTTGTTTGTTTGTAAATCTGTATCTATATTGTTTCATTTAAACTATTCAAATAGCTTCATACTATCCTGTAGTGTAACTATATATTAGTTCTAATTTCCCTATGAATTTATTAATAGTAAAAGTAGTAATAATTTTAATTTATTTTTTACAAAAGTGCATTACACTACCTGTAGAATAGTAATTTTATTATTTTTGTTTTTTTTTTAAGTGTTTTAAATTTTTTTAGATTCAAAATCATTTTAATTTTATTTTTAAAAATTCCAGGAAATTCTTGTAAAAACGGAAACATTAATGATTCTTTAGATATCGAGGAAGATATGGGTACGTACAACATAAACAGCCAGTACCCATTGAATGTTTAATAGTATTTTAATTAATATAAGTTTTGTATCTTTAAAAAGTTTAATTATAATTATTGTTCATAATTAAAATATAAGTTTTAATTTTAAAACTTTATATACTACATTTGATATATGAAATCTTAAATCATACATCTGTTTGCGGCTAACATACATTTATTAACTACTATTTTCTCCACTACTACTGGAAGAATACTACACATTGCCTCTTAGGTAGTCTATTACGCTATGTTAGTTGCCATAAAACTACTTTAAAATATTTTCTTTCATTTAAAAACTTCTTATTCTTAACTTGATGAGTTAGTATTTGAAGCAGCTTTTACTAACGTAGTTCAAGATAAGTCAGCTTTTAAAAATTCCTCAGTATATTTGCAGCTGCAAACATTTTGATATTTCTAGTAAGTTTGTGTTTCTGACACAGCGAACCGCTCAAAAATTTTGAATATCACATTGGTGTTCGAGCAGTTTGAACATCTTTAAGTTTTAAAATTTTTCGATCCAAAATTCGAATATACTGAAGCTGCTACAACACTTTGAACTACAACCTAAAAAATCATTGTTTTTTCACTCTGCCTGTATACGATATACATAAATGTTAGCAGTGTAGACAGAAATAAGTTTTATTGTTAAAACTTTTTCCTATAAGTCAGCTGTTATATAAAAACAAAAATCAAACGATCGACTATATAGTAGCATAAGTAACATCTATTAACATTTCAAACTCACCAATGGAGTTATGGTTTCTTGGTTATCACTCTAACTTTATCAATTAAAAATTTTATTTCTTCTTATATTTACTAATAGTTATTAAATAAATACCTAATTTTTATTTATTTTTAGAAATATAACTTAGTCACATAATAAAATATATTAATAATCGAGGGGTTTTACTCATATATATTTTATTAATCATTTTATGCAGTTTTAGAGTATGTAATGCAATATAAAGTGTGAGTGTGAAATAAATGAAGCATTTCCCGGAATATATGTATATTGTACTGCTAGTATAGATAAACCCTATAAGTCCTTAAACAGTTCCAATGTTCTTAATATTATAATATCGACTAGATATAGTATTGCTAGTATAGTTCCTTGCCTAGTTTTAAATCTGTTTAAAAAAACAGAATTAGTAATTCCACCTTCCCCCACTACATTCTTTATCATAAACAAACTCTCCTCTTTCACACTATCATCATCTAGATACATAAACATATTTGTTATAATTAAATTTGTTAACTAGATAGATCTTCGTGGGTTACAACAACAAGAAGTCTATTATAATAGCGGTATTTAAACGTGCTTATTAAGTTGGTGATGTGATAATGTCTTATAATACTTTTTTTTCTGAGATTTCAATATTACCGAACTATATCTGAGTACACCTAATATATCGAAATTTTTAGTTAGTAATAAGAATTGATTACTGCCAATATAGTTTGTCATGAGCTATTGTGTATTTGACTTAAAGAATATCATCTCATTAGGGAAAGTGTATAGTTCCTTTGATTAAACATAGATACAATGTCTTTTATAGTACAATTCTTCTGTGAATTTCAGCAACTATTGTTTCTATTTTAAAAATAAAAATATTATATGATTTTTAATTAAATATCATTACTAGTATTAGTTATTAATTTTTTTTATTAGAACATCCTCTTACCTAGTGTGCTAAGTTATTTAGATAATATATATTTTTAAATATATCAAATCTATGTTATTGTTTAGCATAAACAATTTAAATCTTATGTTAATTGAAATTATTTGCCTATGTCGTGAATAATTTTAATAATTAATTAATAGTATTGCATAAATCAGTCTTAATTAATGAAGAAATTATTAGATTATTTTTTATTTAACATTACGCTTTTCATAATAATATTATTAATAATAAAAGTTAACAAAAAATTATAAAATCGTTTTGTTTCATAAACTATAATTTTAGATGTCGATATGATTACCCCGCGAAAACACAGCTATGGCATAGAGAGAATATTAGAATTCGGTAAAGAACTTTCACAAATGGGTCAGCAACTTGAAAAGGAAAACAAAATGAATGATGATGATAGACAAATGTTGGAGGTGAATAAAAATAAAAATTAAAACATTAATTTTAACATTTTTAATAAATTTATATATCTGTATTTGTAGGATGCATTTAGCTTAATTGCATATTCAAATCCATGGGCAAGTCCTTTAGGCTGGCAATTATGTCCCACAAAACGTGAAAATGTATGCACAGCGCTTAACTCTGCCATATTAGGTAAATTATATATTTTAAAAAGTTTGTACAAATATAAATTATTATAATTTCATTCTAATTTATATATATTTCTTTGTTTTTATACAGAATCAATGAGCTATGCTCGGCGTCCGCCGTTAGATGTTTGTTTAGCACATGCGTCCGAATTGCTTAAAGTAATGGCGCAGGCTTCGCTCGGTGCATGTGCGTTTGTGAATATTGAAGACATATTTCCTCAAAATTGACCATCCGCGATATATAAAATTTTTGAGACTTAATTTCAATAATAGAACTGTCGACTCATCCGAATGTGCTAAGTACAGCGCTTACATTATAAATTTATCTTATATATATTAGATTTTTAATTGCAAAGAAAAATATATATATTTTTATTTAATTAAACAAATTTTCTGTCAACTAAATTCATTAATTTGTTTACCTTTAAAAATGAAAATGATTAACTTCATAATTGAATTTATTTTTAAATTGTTTTTCATTCATAAACTTTTAATGAATCCTTCTTCCAATTAATTAAATATATCTTTATTTACTCGCAACTGTAAAATGAAAACAAAAAGATTTTATAAATGAATTATTAGTTTTAATTAAAATATATACGTTAAATCAATAAATTTTTTGTTTTGACTAACATCCTAAGAGTACGTTATTTAAAAAAATTTCGGTATTTTCGTATATCAATATATATATAAATATATATATTTACTATATATAGAGCGTATAGCATGTAAGGTGCATTAAGTTAATAAAAACAAAAAAACAATGTAATGTTTATCAAAAGTAAATGAAATAGAAAAAGAAATAGTTTTATTTTATGTATTATAAAAGTTCTATAAAAAATATATAAGTAAACCAGCAAATAGCCGCAATAAAACAATATCGATTCTTTTAAAATATTAAAAAAAATTAATTATGTTCTTAATGCTTAAAACTTTACGTACTATAAACACAAAAAAAATCGAACGAATAAATCAGTTAATGTATAAGAATGGCACCAAATATATTAACAATATTAAATATTCTTTCATATATTGATTTAATTGATTTTTTATTGTAGAAATAAAATTGCTTTAAGTTTTCGCATTTTCCTTCATTAAATTAATAAGCGGTGCAAATTTTTAAAATTACTTTAGTGTTAAGGGTAAAACTAATTGCCTGAATTTAAGATTTAATAAATAGAGATATATAAATAATATTAGTTTTTTTTATTATTATAGGAAGCGTACATATTATTTGATACAAATAATACAGAGCCTATAGGCTGTACTATTTGAGTAAAGAAAAATTAAATATGTATATTACTATTTATTTTAAATGAAAAAAAATGTACATAATTTATTACTAAAAATAATTGTACATAAGGTGAGTCTAAAAGTTCTAAAATATAACATAATCATTGTCATTATAGGGTGTGACTTTCGATTATCTTTCTGGCAACCTATGCGGTCTATGAAAAAAAATTGTTAGCCTTTTGATGCGATCTTTTTAAGTTCAGTTATTGTTCTTGTAGCCCGCCGTGATCTGAAAAGCAGATAACATGTAAGGATTACAAGACGAATACATAGGTTAGGATGTGGATGTGAATGAGCATTTGGGGTAAGGGTAGGAGTAGGAAGGAAGGATGTTGAGTTCAATCAGTTCAAGTGGTACCCATTTTCCGTCTTTTTGAATGGTTCCTTGGGTGATATTTAGAAATTTTCTTTTTTATGATTAAAAAGGAATGTTCTCTACAAATACCGTTTATTTTTATGTTGTTTATGCTTTCACAAATAATGGCGTTAAGTTTTAATGTAAAATAGGGATACTATAAAATGCCATAAGTGTCATACTGAAAGATTGTTTAGTATTAATTACGATGTCTCTTGGAAAATCCCAAAAACTATATCATAGATCCAATAGTTTCAAAAGGGTATAATATTACTAGATTTTTCTTTTTTCATTTTAAATGTCAAACCTTTCAAACTACGAAAATTAAACAGATAAATTTTAATATGTGAATCCAATATATTGAAATTTATCTACTTAAATTATGATTTCTATAGATAAGTCTAATTTCATTTGTGAACTTCATTTAGGAGTCATATACTCAGTCAGTTTAACAATATAAATTATTTATTTATTTAATTTATATTATAATAAAAATTAATACAGTACCTCATCTTCATTCAGTATGTATGATAACTTCAAATGAACCCTTACAATTATATACTGTACTTGTAGACCTTTCATTAGACATCCTGTTTAGAATACCTATATAAGATGAGATAATGGCGACCAATATGCGATAAAGCCTAACTTTTCATATAGCCATTTAAGGATTTCAAATAGGTAGTCAAAATATAATTGAAATGTTAGATTAAAAGTAAATTAAAATCCAAAGATTTTTTGATTTTGATATAAAATAGTCCAAACAATAAATTGGGAAATATTCCCAACAATTAAACACCGTAAAAATTATTCCATATGTTACATCTGTAATGAAATAAGTTTTTAAATTTATATAGTATATAAGTGCATATCAAACAACGAAGTGTACTTTAGAGACAATTTCTATTATCAAAAATAAACTTATATATTCAATTTTCTGAGTAAATTCCTGAAACTTTTTGATAACGATAGTAAAACAATATAATTATATTACTATTTTCTGTAATTACGCTTAGATCAATAACTAAATAATATAATTATAATTCATTAATCATATAACATTATAATACAATAATATCAATAGTTTCTTTCATAATATTAAATATTATCATATAATTTAAGTGCTGTTTTAAATTAATTATATTTATAGATTTATGCATATTCATTACATTTTAATTCTATATTATTACAATACAGAGGTAATATTTATTAAATTTTTCATTAAATTTAGTTAAAATTTTTATTAAATAACAAAATGAGTAAAAGAAAAAAAAATTAATAAAATATTTATTAAATTTTTAAACATACGCGCCTTTAAAACTAATAAAAGGGCAATTAATAAATATCAATAAATATCAATAAAAGTTTTTAATTATAAATATTTATACTAAGGCCGTGTGCGAGTTCAAGTAAATTGAGGTAAAGTAAATTGAAATTTCCTAGGATTTTTTGCACTGCACTTATGTAAATATTAATTTATTTATTATATATGGATAAAAGTACTAAAATTTATTCATTTAATTATTAAACATCTTATAAAATTTTCGCAATGGTAACACCTAATTTACTTAATTTTGATCTAATTTACCCTACTTCAAATTCTGGTAAATACCAACATTCGCTGCCATACCGACATAATTCACTATTTCCCTCAACTTACCATCAATTTACTCGAACTCGCACACGACCTAAAAAGATTTATGCATATTAATTATAACATTTCAACTCTCATTATACATAATACAATAACAACATAAGTGAAAGCAAAATTATATATTATTTAAGATATTATATTTTATATAATATAATTTATATAAAAATAAATTGAATGTTTTTTGAAGAAATTTTTTTACTTCAATTTTACTTCAAAAAACCATTCAATTAATTTTTTTATGAATTATATTATATAAAATATAATATTATAAATAATATATAATAATGATAATAATAATAATAATAAAATAATAATAATGACAATAATATATATTACATTAAAAAATATATTAATTTTAAATTAATTATATATGGTTTCTGGATATAAACATATTAATTTTGACATTTTAACTTTATATTATTATACAAAAAGTACAAACAAATAATTAAAAACCAGTTTAATATTTTAAAAACCAAAATATTTATTTAATTTTTAAATATACGCGCCATTAAAACTGTCAAAAAGCAAACAGTGAATGTCAATAAATATTAACGAACAACTCAACATATGAAATATTTTTATTAAGCATTGTCAACCTGTGTATTATTCCAACACACTTTATTGCCCTATTTACCGTATATTCCAATCAGATTATCTCATTTGCTCTCGTTTGCAATAGCGCAGCAATGCTTATGCCATCCTTTTTGTGTATTGTAAACAAATTCGCTGTATTAAATGTATGGTTCAGTAGCTATTGTGTAATTTTTGTTTAAGGGTTGCCCATTCGCAACATATTCGCAGTGTATGACACCATAAGCATATGTACTCCTGTATTCCAATATTATGGCATTACACAAAAACTAAGTGCCGAGGGAAGAAGTTATGGAAAAATTGGCATAGAGATAAATAAATTAAAATAAATAACAAAAATTGTGAATGAAATATTAATAATAATTGTTGTTACTGGTAATTAATAAATGCATTAATATAAAATAAAAGAAATAAAAAAAATTAAGGGAAATGTGATAAAAACTTGCGTGTCCAGCACAGCTCCAATATAAAATTTTTGGTTCTTAAAGACAAGGTGGGGACGCAAATGTGTATACGGGAACATGCGCCGCGCCTCTACGACAGCCAAAGGGAAGAAAACACCTAAACACCACCCTTAACGCGTCGCTAGTACTATTCGGTTTTCCGCAATATCGTTAGAATAAAAGTTTTAGTGTTGCATAAATTATTTTATTTAATATCAAAAAAAAAAAAATAATGCAATTCAGTCGAAAGTTGTTGCTTGTTTTCATTGTGAAGCTGCCAGTGTAATGTCGTGTATTTGATTGCAATTTAAAAGCCGGTGGTGCGTGAGAATCGAAGAGTATTAATGTATGTGTCATCTAATTCGCGATAGAGCAACACCCACACCCATTTTCAATAAAAAATATAAAAAATTTAAAAGTCATTGTATATTTGTTTTTATAAAATAAAAATTTGTTTTAGTTAAATTTAGTTTTCTTCTCATTCATATACGAATACTTACTTGTCCATATAGGCATAAACAATACACATATGTACGTACCCACAAGTGTGTAATTTGTGTATGAGTTCATTGTGCACTGTCGAAAACAACTCTCCTACACACAAGCATACACAGGCACATACATATATTCAAACAGTTGTTTTGGCAGACAATCACTAAGTTTTCGTCCGTTTTTTTTATTTAAATATCTGTTTATTAAAACATATAGCTTAAATTAATGATAACTACGATAAGATAAAAAATATCCATTACGAATTCTGAATAGCAAAATGTGGCGCATTCCCATTGAAACACCTTTTAAGGAATATTTTGCTTTGCCTAATGTTTAGTGGAAAAAGTCTGTTACGTTCGGGCAGTTGGAATTATAAATCTAACTGCTTTCGACTGAATTGCAAACACAATTAATTTAAATAAAACTATTTTTCATAAAACTGTATGCTTCAATTAAATTACATTAAATTATATCTAAAATCTTGGTTCCATATTATTATTTATATTATAGTGTGAACTGCAGAAGTGATTAGACAACCCATCGAATTTTTAAGAAACGATGTTCGTTTATTTTTAATTGTTTAATAGAAAGGATCTCGTGTTTAATAAAAATCATACGCTCGTAATAATAACTTTATTACCAATTTATAGTATAAATTATACTGTATTCATTAGTTAAGTAATAAGTGTACATATACGTAGTAATTTAATAAACATGGGCTGCACTACTTCAGCTGAAGAACGCGCTGCTATCCAACGTTCAAAGCAAATCGAAAAGAATCTCAAGGAAGATGGCATACAAGCGGCGAAGGATATTAAGCTCTTGTTACTTGGTAAGCATATGTTCAGATAAGTAATTCATAATTACACAAAAACTATAAAACACAAAAAACAAAAAGGATTTGAATTATATAAATAATTAAAAATTTAAATAAAAACATATTATTAAATTATTATGAATCACCTCTTAATCTCGCTTTACGCATTGTGTTTGTGATGAAATAGTTGTTGACACTTGTATGCCACTCTCCGAGAGGGTGGCCGGCACTTGTTGGTCAGCGGTGCGGGTGTCGTGTTAGTCGGAAAGACTCGTGGTGCCACAGAACGGAATGTTGATATAAGAATAATATTCAGTTCAAAGTTTTAGTTTGAGATTATTGTATTTATTTGCAAGTGAAAATGTGAATGGTCGAGAAATATTGCATATCTAGTAAATTCCACAAATTTATCTTGATTTGTATTCATCCAATGTCAGTTGTAGTGCAATTTTTATGATAACCGAAAATATAAATCCTATTTTTTTCTTCAAATTATTCAAAAATAACTAATTAAATAGAAGAAAATTCTGATACCCTTTCAACACTATTCAAGAAGAATAGTACCTATTGTTGTTGTTGTTACTAGGTAGTTTCTTTTAGTAGTGCTGACCGATTTGATAGGAATAACTAGTACCTGTTCGTGTAAAGCAGTGGTTCCCAACCAGTGGTAAAAAGAGGTAAAACAAATTTATCAGGTATGGATAAATAGCTTGTAGTTTGGCCACTGAGACCTCATTGATTAGAAAATAAGCACCCAAAAATGTCCAAGTAATTACATATTTATTTTATAGCATATATAGTGTACTTATGCACTTATACAATTCATTATACATTGTACCATAGAAGCATAAAACATACTCAAATAATCATTCAGTTTATTCTTCTTAAACTTGGTCAAAAAAAAAGGTTGGAAACCGCTAATATAGAGAGACGAGTTGAATAACGAGTAACATTTTAAAAAACTCGAGTTTCTTAAATTTCCCTTCAAAATCCCAAAATGTACCAAA